GCGGAGTTTGGGAGCCAGGGAGAGCTCCTGGGATGCCTCTGGCTCTTGGACAGAAATCCAGAATATCCAAGCCTGTGCTTCTGCAAAGAGGAGACAAATACCACTTTTCCCAGGCTCACCTGCCGCTCTAGCTTCTCGTCAAAGTGGATTTTGGAGTGATGCTCACCCCAGCAAAGGAACAGCATCACCTCCTGTTGCCAAATGGATCATGGAATCATGGGATGGTTTGGGTTGGAAGGGACCTTAAAGCTCATCCAGTTTCAACCCCGACACCTTCCACTGTCCCAGGCTGCTCCAAGCCCCATCCAACCTGGCCTTGGGCACTCACAGGGATCCAGGGACAGCCACAGCTTCTCTGGGCGCCCTGTGCCAGGGCCTCCCCAACCTCACAGGGAACAATTCCTTCCCAACATCTAAACTAAATCCACCCTCCTTTAGTTTAAAACCATTTCCCCCTGTCCTAATCCAGCTGGCATCTCTTGCACTGTGCAGAGACAGCCCAGCTCTCCTGGGACATCCAGTGCTGGGAGGAGCACCCCAGACCCCTGTGACCCCTGGCTTTGTTCACCCAGGAGCTGAGACTCCCTGGAAATGAGACAGGATTTGTAGTCCCAGGGAGAACATCCTTGCATGAGGCATTTGAAGCAGAGATGAGATGCCTGACCTGGCATTTAAATAAGTGCACAACTGCAGTGATGGTTAATCTTAATGGCAGGAAGAACAGTGAGGGCCCTGGGGGAGAAAACCTCTGGCAAAATGAGATTGAGAAATCTGGGGTTGCCTAATTAGAGACACGATTAGCAGGGCAAATAACAGAAGTAGTAAAAGTGAAGAACAAACAGAGGACTGAGATCAGGATCTCAAGGATCAGGGCTGTAATTTTCTCCTATAAAGCTATATATAGCTTTCTGTCTAATTTATTATATTGCAAGAAAAAAAATAAAATTATCTGGACTGACATTGCTTGAACTAAAGACTGAAGGAGGACTGGGATGTGTTTGGGACTGAGCCCATTGACTGAATGCTCTTTACAGGCTAATCAAAAATTATTTATAAAAAAAAAGGTTTGTGAAGAAATAAAACAAAAATGAAATCAAAGCACACAAAGCTGCTCCTGCCAGAGAGTTGGGCCCAGGGCAGCTGGAGTTGCCCCGTGCCCACAAACCTGTGTCTGTCCCCACTGAGTCACTCTTTGGAGTGCCCTGAGAATGTCCCGAGTGCCCCTGCACTGGCCTCTCTGCTGCTTCCATGGGGATTTGCAGCTCTTGGTCCCAAACACTTCCTGTAGTATAAGTGATTCCCGGCCATCGCGACAGCCTTGTTGTGGCAGCTGTGACACTCCACCCCTCTCAACATCAATGTTGAATTACATTTATTTCTTAGCTACTATTTTTTTTTTGCCCTAAGATAATTAAAGACCATGTTTGTTTATTTCTTAAACCCTTATAGACCCCCAATTGTTTTCTTCCTCACTGGTTTTGTTTGGTTTGGGGTTTTTTTTTTTGGTGTGTGTGATTTGCCAACCTGTGAGTAGCATTCTGTAGTTAGCAATTAAAGGCCACATTTGGAGGCTAAATATAAATTGTTATGACAAGATTCTTCACTTTGCCAAACAAATGTGTTGCTGATGTATGAAAAAAAAACCCCACCACACAATAACGTGATCAGTGGGAAGCCAGTATTGTAGGATATCACCCTGGCTGGATATTGGGAAGGAATTCCTCCCTGTGAGGGTGGGCAGGCCCTGGCACAGGTGCCCAGAGCAGCTGTGGCTGCCCCTGGATCCCTGGGAGTGCCCAAGGCCAGGTTGGACAGGGCTTGGAGCAGCCTGGGATGGTGGAAAGTGTTCCTGCTACGGCAAGGGTGGGATGAGATGGATTTTAATGTCCCTTCCAACCCAAACCATTCTGGGATTCCATGTCTGGAACTCACTTCCCACTGGATGTTTTCCACTTTTCTTCTCAGATACAACTTATTTTGTTCTCAAGTTGGTGGGGAGGAGCAAGGTTGGGACAGTTCCCAGCCCTCTGATCCCTTGCAATGAGCTGGACCCATGGGATTTCCCTTGCCCCCGAGTCCCCACATGAAACCAGCCTTGGCCACCCTCCTTTCAGTGTCCCCTACCCCGCTGCAGCCAGTCAGTCTTTGATGAAATTGGGGACTGTGAGACGAAAACTGAAGAGAAAGGAGGAGAAAAATGAAAAGGAAGGTCTGGGAATGTTCCACGTGTTTATTTTGCTTGCAGTACTCAATAAAACAGACTATTCATTTGTGGCTGCTTGCAGCAGCATCCTCCCCTCTGCAGTGACTTTCAAAGGAGCCCCAGCATGGCCAAGTCTCCTGTGGGATGTGGCCCTGGGGTGACCCTCCTTATTTTGCTTAGAAATAATTGAGATGTCTCTATGAGTTGCTATTACAGGGTTGAGAGCAGCAAGCGAGGAGCAAGAAAACAACTCAACAAATCTTGGCACGGCACTTGTGTCGGGCTCAGCTCCTTCCCAGGGTTCCAAACGCCCTCTTGATGAATGGGAAGTGTTTGCCCTGGTGTGTGGAGCTCACACACGAGTGTGACCAATCCCCCTGAGTGGCTGACAAACACAAAATGGGCTGATTATTCCCTGGCTGAGGGATGTGGCAAAATCTCAGCATTTTAAATATAAATGCTGGGGGGGGGGAGGATCTGAGCAGACCAGGTGTGGGTGTTATTCATAACCTGAGATGCAGTTTTCCAGCAATGCAAGTGACAGCCAGTATTGAGTGGAAATTGATTATCTGTGTGAAGCAGGGATTAAAAATAGCAGCTTTGTGTCAAACCCCACGTATGTTTTGACTAAATCCTCAATAACAAGGAGAAGGGATAAAAGATGGAGATTATACAGAGAATGCCAAAACCCAAAAAGCCTGGATTAGAGAAGAAAAGGATTTGAGTGGGTTGCTGCAATTAATGATTGTCAAGTGCCATCAGCTGGGACTGCTGTGGCTTCTTGTGGGGACATCTTGTCCTTTGGTTTGCCAACCTGCCAGAGGCACTGCCAGCTCATTGTCCTGCTCCCCTGAGGCTCCTCCAGCTCAGTCAAAGGTCCAGGGGCTCATGGCCAGTGTTTGACCCACACAGTCAAGCAGTTTTAATGTTCAGAAACTCTTCCCCTAATTAAACACGGGACATTCCCAGAAAGGATGATGGTCTCAGAAAGCTTCTCCTCCCAGCTTCTGTGCTGTTCCCCAGCAGAAGCCCTCAGAATGCTCTGTGCTGGGAAACTAATGCAGTTCTACCACTTTTTTTGTTGCAGTGTGCTTGGAGTACTCTTTTTGCTGCTGCAGCTGGTGCTCAGCTGCTGCCCCAGAGATGGTGTGGCTGTCCCAGCCCAGGTAGGAGCTGCAGGGCCCATGTCTGCTCCAAATTTGCTCCATCTGCCCTTGCCCAGCCCCACACCTTGCCAGGCTCTGTCATTATCACATTTTATGGCACCCACTGTGATCACTGCTCCCACCCACAACCACACAACACACAATTTCTGCTTCCACAGCAGAAAATATTTCACCAGACGGGGCAGAACTTACAAATAAAACAATTTTATTGAGTTTCTGCTCCTATAGCATGTGGCACATAAAGAGAATTAAGACACAAGGTGTGATGAGGAATGATATATTTACCCTTCACTGAACAAAGGATTCATCTCAGCCAGGAGCAATGCAAACACCCCTCTCTGCCAGCTGTGATGTGCAGCCAGGGGTGATGCGGTGACATTTGGGAGAATGGAAACTGAAGTTGACCTGAAGATTGTGGCTGATGAACACAGTCCTGCTAACCTGAGGGGAGGAGAGCTGACTACCTCAAAACAAAAATATTTGCTTTTGCCTAATTTAATTAAGGTGGAATAAACAGCACTAATGCACTTCTTAACTCAGAGAAAAATCCAGGATGAGAAAGTGTCCAAAATCCACAGCTGGCTGATAAAGATCAGCTGATTTAGCTGTAAAGCCAGTACTTGGGATATTCTAACTTCATTCTTGGCCTCTGCAGCCAAGGAACCAGCAAAGCTTCTTTTTTTTTTCCAGAACTTGACCTTCCTTCAGGGCTTGGGCTGAGAAACTTTATTCTTTAAGGAAGTGCTGACAGTCTCAAGAAAATAGATTGGAAGCTTTTTTCAACATCAGTCATGTTTCTGTATTTCCCTTTCCCCCTTGGGTCACCCTTTATTACTTGGATGAGATAAGAAATAGAGATCCAGTGGTCATGCAGGGCTGTCACACATTTCTGTAACATCTTCCCCAATTTTTTCCTGAATTCCACCTGCAGCAACGCTGTTCCCTCCACTCCAGATAACGCAGGGGTGTCATGGGGGATGAGCAGCAGCTACAAAGGGGGCTGAAGGAACTGTTCATGCAAATAGCTCAGGGGAGACTTCAGATACAGGGGAAAAAACCCCAGGGTTCCCCTCCTGAGGAATCAACAGCATTTTTTTTTTTATATATATGACAAAAGGAATTATGGGGTACACACTGCACAAACTTCTAAAGAGCTCATGGACACCTCTACATGAACAGGAATCCTGGGGACACTCTGCAGGGCTGGGGCTGACCACAAGGATGGAGCTGCTGGTGGCTTGGGAGGGTCTCTCCCATCTTCTGCCACAGCTTTCCAGTGGCCACTGTCCCCTGTCCCGGCCACCTCTGCTCTCTGCAGACACCTCCTCACCCCTTTCCAGCCTTTGCACACACTAAAAATTATTTTACACGTTATTTTACAGACCGAACTCCCAGTATGTCTCAGTCCACCTACTCCCTCTGGAAACAGATCCGTACAGCAAAAGCCACAAAAATAACATCACCTTGGGAGACATATCAGACAAAAACATATTTGACCACAAAACAGATTTCTACCTTCACTTACGCAGGAACAACTAGACCAGAAGTCCCGCTGCAGCCACCGCCCCTCAGCAACCACTGAGACTGAAGGCCAAGTGCAAAAATTACTTGGTTTAGTCCCATTTTGCTGTCCTTGCTGCAGATCATGGTGTGGGGGGTGGTTTGGGGGAGGGACATGAGCCCTGGCTGTCGAAGCTTGCTGCCCGGCCGTGCCACTGGGGGACAGAAGAGAAATCAAGGTGACCAAACAGGAGAGATGATCTGGGATTATTCCCAATCCTGCACCGTGTTGTCCATCTCCTCTTCCTCAGTATTCCCATCCCATCCCATCCCATCCCATCCCATCCCATCCCATCCCATCCCATCCCATCCCATCCCATCCCATCCCACCCTTGCCCAGCTCCTGCCCTGACATGTTCTCATCTGCTCTACGAGTTCCAACTTATGCAATGCCCGTGTTTAACCACTCAGGAGGAATTGCTGAACAATTTACTTTATTGTCTTGTAAATCAATTCCCAATTGCGAGGATTCCTCATCAAAAAAAAGGAAAATAAACAGTGTCTGTGTGTGCTGTGAAGACAAAGCGCTCTCAGCTCTTCCCTGCTTTATTGCTGTTGTCTTTTCAGTTTAAAAATACTGTCTAAGCTCAGAAGTACTTGAGGCTTTCCAGTCTGGTAATTTTACTCCACAGCAGCTCTGTCCACAGCACCGGAGACATTTCTCAAAGGGAAATCAGATCAGAGACTCGGTGGATGGAGCAAACATTTTTTTTGCCATACTTAGGGGATCATAAATTATTTTTCATCTGCCTTGGGGGCTATTATCATAATTCAAACCCATTATTCCTGAAGCTTTTGAGCACTTGCCCATCTCACCATCTTGTTTTATTAAATTCCAGTGACAAATGATAGACATCTCCCAGAGACAACGGGAGGAAGAATTTCCACTGCCTGAATCAATTCCCTCTCCTCCCACATCATTAGAAACTCTTTGCTGGTTGATATTAATGCTTAAGCATGTATGAATTTCATTTCTCTGGGTGAAAACTTACTTGGGGAAGCAGACCTCACCCTTGCCTTGGCAAAGCCATCTCGAATGAAAACAAGAGAACAGCAGCCTGGTGCTCACAGGGCGGCTGAGCAGGGCCAGCAGGCCCTTGCAGATGCTCCATGGGTTTGGAGTGGTCAAAAATTTAACCAATTTGGCCAATTTCCTTCCCCAAAGGAGCCTGTCAGTGTAGAGTAACTCACTGCACAGGTTTGCATTGAAAATCCTGTATTTTATCAGGGCTGAGCAGAAATTAATGAATGAAGATGAGAAGCTTGTCCTGGCAAACAGCTGCCTTAAGGTAAGGAAACACTTCCTTCTATGCTTCTCTTGTCAAAAAAATTGGCAAAAATCCCTGAGGAATTGATAATACAGGTACAACCTCCCCATGGGGACTGCCAATGATCAGATTGAAGAAATTACAACAGAAATGGGCTTTTGGCAGAGCCTTCCCCATGCTCTTTGCCTCATGCTGTATGAATGACAATGACAGCGCTGCTACTCCAAAAATGTGACTGAAAACTCTTCCAAGGTGTGGGAATTCCAAGCACAGAAAATTTTCAAAATCTTGTGCATGCAGGTTCTGAGCACAGAGATAGAGTGCAGGGTTTGACCTGAGACCTTGGAAAAGACTTCTTAATTTAGAGACCACGAGCAAAAATGTGGGTTGGTAGTTTAGATAGAAAGACATTAAGCTAGGTAGTGGAAAATTCTAAGGTTTTAAAGTTAAGATATAGAAGGAGTTATAAAGGTAATAAGAAGTTTTAAGATGTACCAAGTAGTTTTGTGTGTCATTACACGATTGGTTAAGAAAGCCCGCACTGTGGCAAAGATGTGTTAGACAAAATAATTAACTCTTGGTGTGAAAGTAAAAACATTCTTTGTGGCAGTAGTTTTTTGGCCAATTAACCTTTAAGAGACCTGCTAACCTGTGGTCTTGTGACCCCTGACCATGAACATCTGGCACATATGTTGAAGACATTCTCACTCCTCCATGAGACCGTAAAAGAAGAGTAATAAATCATGCTTTAAAACATCTCCCAGTAGTCCCATGTCTCAGAATCCCAGTACCAAGGATAGATCCAAATGACTAGAGAGGAACCTGGAGATGCTTTTCCTTCATTTAATTAGAAAAGGTGGGCCATGCATAGTTTAGCCAACAGTCAGAAACAAATCAATCAAAGTTCAATCAAAGTCAAACAGGCCCAGAAGTCTGGGAGGGCTTATCTTTAAAGATAAATGATTATTCTCTATTATGGACATGACTTGGCTCTCAGCAGAGTTATCAGTTTTTATCTGGAGCAATGTTTTAAGCAAATAAGTTCTCCCCTGCTGCATGTCAGAGGCACTTGGCAACACCAAAGACCCGTTTTGCATCATGCTGATGACACAACTCTGCCACACCAGGGTTTGTCCTTCAGAGATAACAGGGAAAATCCCCATTTTCAGAAGTTCCCTTTTCAAAGCCTGGAAGAACAAGATGTAATATTCTATTTCCCTTTGTGCACACACCCCAGAACCTGGCTGATGGGTGGAGGAACGCAGAAGGAACATGGGTGGGGTGGCTGAAGCACCCAGGGAGGGTGCAGCTGCCAGCGAGACCTCGGGGTTAAACACTGGGAACAGCTTGTGCTGAGGGGAAGAATTTATTGTCAGAACAACCCTACAAAGAAGGATTCTCCCTTTCTGCTCAGAAACTCGCCTTCTGAACATCTGTGTGAGGAGGATAGCACTTAAAAGCCTGTAATTAATGATTCATTTGCACATGTTCTCCATGTTCCCTCTTTAATGATGATGGTCATTAGAGAAGTGCAGTCATTATGGTTTGTTACTCCCTGTTGATAAATATGGAGCAACGAAAGACATGATGTGCATCTGAAGCGTTTCCCTTTTCACTGGAGCCTTTTCCAGCACTGAAAGCAAAGAGGGAGCGGCACCAGCTCGTGGAGGAAGGGCCCAAATTGCTGTTGGCACAGAAATGAGGGGTTAGGTCATGTTAGCCCAGCACTATGGATGCTGGGACAGGCTGAAGCTGCCCAGGTCCTCACGGTGGACAAAGAATCATGGCCCAACACAGGAGGAGGCTGGTCCAACACCACAGACACAACCATCCACCCATCCATCCATCCATCCATCCATCCATCCATCCATCCATCCATCACTCCCTGTTGTGGCAGGGTAAGGGGGTCAGGGCTGGGCCATCCTCCTGAAGCAGCACATAGCCCTGGTGACATTTTCCTGGCAAATTCACCAGAAATTGTGACTCTGAGCTGTACTCAAATTATGGTGGGAGCTCCTCCTGGCCAAAGATTTTCCAAGGCGCCAGGCAGGGTGTCGGTTAGCAAAGAAATTCCATATTCCCACACTTTTCTCCTCCCTGAGTAGTGGGGAGGGGGGTGGGACCCCAGCTACAGCGTGGGGAGATGGCAGCACCTGGAGCAGCTCCGTGTCCCCACACACACTGCTCCAGTCACCCATCCCTCCATTTAGACATCCAAGGGACAATTCAATCCGGCTCCCTCGCCTTGGTTTGAGGTCAAGCACTCAGAGGAGACTCAGATGAGGCCAGAGGCTGCTCCTGATGGTCAGAGCACACAGAGACCATCACAAGGATCATCTGGGAAGCGAACGCTCCATTTGCTGCTGCCCAGCACAAACACTCTTGGAGATGAAGATGAAGAAGACAAAGAGGAAGGTGAAAATGATGGCTCAGGATGCTGGCACAGCCCAAGTTCATCCCCACAAAGGGTGAGGAAGGCATGAAGGGCCGACAGTTCTCCCCCAGCATCCTCAGGACAGATGGACAGAGAGCCAGCAGCCCACAGAGCCTGGAAGGATGGAGCAGCTGCACAGGGACCCAGAGCTGGGATTGCAGGACCAAAACCCCAAATTTCTTTTCAAAGGTACCCAAACACAACATAGAAGAGATGATGCAATGTCTTGCAACCAACAAATATCATTTCCCATTAATTTCTCTCCAGGAGCCTATGCCTTTTCTGTTCAGTTTTTCTTTTAGGCTGCACTGGGGATTTGCAGACAGCCGTGCTAAAACTTAAAAGGGCAAATAAACACAGGGACCATTTGCTTGCTCACTCTGTGCACCAGTTTGTGGCAAAAATACCAGAACAGATGATCAGAGGGTTTTTTCTTTCCTTTTAAGCAGAGCTCCTGACCTGTGCACTGAGGGGTGAAATGATTCACTCGGTTTTTTTCCAGAGTCTTGGGGGCTCAGCCATGGTTTTAAAAGTGCATTTTAGAAGGTGAGTCATCTTACATGTCTTCCTTGGTTTCTCTGTGTTTCATCATAACAAAAATGCCTCTTTATTACTTTTTTCTTAGTGATTTTCAAAAACTTTGCAGGAGTTTTTCTTTAAAAACTCCACCTGCATCTGAAGAACAGTGCAGTAAAGCCATAAATATTGCAACCTGGACAAAGAACTCCTGCCCCTGGGTCAGCCATGGCAACTGTAGTCACATTGTGAGATGCTACAGATGCCAAGAGATCAAATGAGAAATAATTCATTTTCTGCTGAAACCTTGTGGCTGCTGGTCCCCAGCTCCCTGTGGCGGTGGGAGGTGACACACAGAGCCTGCCCAGGCCCAGCAAGGGAAGGGGAATGAACTCCTGGTTGCTGTTCAGCACCCAAGGCAGATTTAGCACTGCACATGAAGTGCACAAGGGTTTAATTCTGCTCTGACTCAGCCCTGAATAGCTGATCCCTGTGCTGATTCACAGCTCAAGGTGAGCTCACAGATCACCTCAAAAAAGGGAGGGTGAATTTACAGGTGTCCACTGGCTGATACATCCACCTCCAGTGGGTCTTAAGCTAAAATATCAGTGCCACGTTTTCCTTTGTGTATAATTGACCTGGGGTGGGACAGAGGGCACTGAGCACAAACAGATTTCTTAATTATACAATGGTTTGGGTTGGGAAGGAACTTAAAAATCATCCAGTTCCAATCCCCTGCTATGGGCAGGGACACCTTCCACTGTCCCAGGCTGCTCCAAACCCCATCCAGCCTGGCCTTGGGCTCTTCCAGGGATCCAGGGGCAGCCACAGCATCTCTGGGCACCCTGTGCCACCTCCCCACCCCTTCTTGTTGGAGGAAAGAGCAGATTTCAAAGAAAGACAGGGTTTATACAGTAATTCACTCTACTGTGGAGTCTCAGCAAGCCCTGTCTCTGCCTTTCAGTGCAGCTCAGCACTGAACTTCAAGGGGAAAATGAGATGCTTTTTCTTAAGTACTTATTCTGTGGCTTTGAGGGAAAATACCTCCCCAGTCCCAGACACAGAGGGAGGTTTTATTGCCTTTATTATAGTATCACTGGCCTCAAACACTTGTGCTTTTTTCTCATACTTGAAGTGTCAAAGGCGTGTGTGCCCTTCTCCACATCTCTCTCCTCCAGAAATTATGACCTAAATCAGGCAAAGCCAAATAGCTCTATAGAAGCCTGAGAAATTGGAGTGCAAGGGGGAAGAAAATTCCAGAGATGGTCAAAATGGTACCCAGGCATTTCAGCCCTATTTTATCATCTAGGGCTGCATCAAGTCAATCTCTTTCTCTGGAGATGCTTAGAGCTATTACGTTTGTTCTATTTATTCTCCCTCAAAGGCTTGGAGATGAGTCAACAGAAAAATCTTTTAGGATGAAAAATTGAAACTTGAAATAGGCAATATCCCTGGACAATTTGTTCTGCAATCAGAGCAGCATTCTCTTTCCTTACTGCTTTCAATCTCTAATTTAAAAAGGAAAAAAAAAAAAAAAGAAAAATCCCTAAAATGTAACAGTCACATCTGTAAATACAGTTCTGTTCAGTCTCGCTCATGAGCTCAAGGAGCTATTTTGAGGCAATACAGAAGTTCTTGTTTTCTAGAGTTCATTTCTGGTGAGAAAATTCCCTCAGTTCTGCTCAGAAAATCCCAGGCGAGAGCAGGAGCTCTCTGAAAGCCTGGAGCCAGCCCACTCCCACACAGCACTGGCACTGGAAGGGAAGGACAAGCCCACACACCTCTTTAAAGGATTTCTTCACCTCCACCAGTGGGTGCCAGTGGGCGATGGGCTTGCGGGGGTAGGCCAGCATCTCGTTCCAGTGGTCTCTGCCCAGCCCCTCGGCATTGACCCCCACACGGCAAACCCCGATGATCTCGTTGTGGCCCACCCTGAGGAACAGCAGAGAAGCAGCACCATCACCATCCATCCATCCATCCATCCATCCATCCATCCATCCATCCATCCATCCATCCCTCAGGCTGCCCACACCTGGCCAGGTAGAGCCGGGACCCCACTGCTGGTGAGCCTGGGTTGTCGTGTCTGCCCCAGCACTGCCATCACCATAGGTAATTAATTACAGTTCTTAAATTATTTCAACTTCAGGTCAGCCCAGACACAGAGGTGTGAGTAGTGCTCCATAGCAAGAATAACCCCAGGTTCAGTAATGCCTAATTCATACACCCCATGCTGCTAGGACTGACATTATTTGCTTTCTAAAATGGGTTGCAGGACAAGTAAATAACCAAGGGAGACATGGCACTTGCTCAAGGAAATGCCATAAAGCAAGGACCAGCTTTGCCAAACTTGCTGTTTTTCCATAGCCATAAATATCAATGTCACTGTAGCGATAAATCACCAGAGACAGGTGGATACCACTGAACTCTGTGCATCGAGGCTATGGAAAGCACCGTGGAAAATTGCATTTGAGCAGGAAAATCTGCACCCAATGGGATTCTCTCCCCTCCAGCTCTCCAGAGCCTCCCACCTACCGATCATAATCCATGACAGAGATAAGGAGGCTGACTTGATCCATGTTCTCGGGGGGAATGTCAAAGATTATTGCTTCATTGTAGGTGGGATTAAGTGTGTTTTTCTTTATGGTGGTTTTCTTCTTTTTTAGTCTTCGTCCATCACAGAGCAAAGACACTTTGACATATGGATCTAGGGAGGAAAAGATAGAAGACCTTTTGTTGATAGAGGTGCGTTGTTACCTTTGCAATATAGAAACAGGTTTATCAGAGGATGGGCTGTGAGCTCCCAGGAGCCAGAGGCACTCTTCAATGTGGCGACGTGACTAGGGGGAGACAAAGAGTTACATTGTCCCACCCCAAACCCCTTGTGAAGGGCGGCCCAGGAGTTCTGATTGATACTGAGTCCCTGGAGGGTTTCTCCCTTGCTGTGTTTCTAGTGGTCCCTGACCCTGAACTCCACCCTCAAGGGTGGAGACCCTCGGGGGTTCTGTCCCCCAAAAACCCCGGCTCTGCCTTTGTTCAGGGCTCTCTGTTCTGGATCTGAGTTTGTTCTCATGCTGAATAAAGGGTTTCATAAACCGGAAGCCAGTCTCATTGGTGTTCCATGCTGGTCCCCAGAACCCTGCAGCTTCCCTAGACGAGATCCTGAGGTTGTAGACTGCAACACTTCAAATAGACTTTTTCTAAAAGTTTGTTTGCAGACCAGTAAAATCCTCCATTTCTCATTCTGGTGTGGGTGGTGACCTGAGGTTCAGGCACCAGAGAACCAGCACTGCATTATTATTATTATTGCAGAAAGGCTGAGCTGGCTTCACCTGAAGACTCAATTCTGAGACATTTCATATAGCATTAAGCTCCAGCTGGACAGAAACATTTTCTGCAAAGGTCTCTGTTGTTACTGCTTTTTGTACAATGAAATGCAAATACTCTGAACTTGGTGTCTGGAAAAGAAACTGGGTTTTATGATGAAAACCAGAATTTGTGCATGCTAACTTCGCAAGTCAGCCCTTTGAAATTTCAAATGCAAACAGTCTTCAGGTGGTTGTGAGCCTCAGGTGTGACTACTGGCCACTGTACAGGGAAATGTACATTCCAGTGGAGTTTATCCAGGATTTATGATCCTTTCCTGATCTTGGGGTGGAAGAATTGATTCTGGCTACAGAGGGTTCCAAGAGATCTAAGTGTCTAACCCAAGAGATGGATCAGAGCTCTGGCCCTGCAAACCCTCCAGTGGGATGGGAAACAAGCCACAGATAATTCTGCTTTAAAAATTTTGTTTGCACTTAAAACACGGACAAGGCTTTTTGAGGTATTTCTGAAAAACATGATGGTTCACCCACCATCTACTGAGGATACGGTGAAGGAAGAGGAGGAAATGTGCATGCAGGGGGGTCCTCCTCAGCCACCAAACACCCACCTGAGTAACCTGTGATGTCCATAGCTTTGAGATTCCTGCATTTAATGACTGTTAAAGTGAGGCGACCTGCAGTTGGCAAATAACAAAGGGAAAACATGATCTCTCCCAGGTCCACGCTTTCCTTCAATAAAACAGAGAATACATTTTATTGGAAATGTGCAGAACCAGCCAGGTGCCTCCTCCCCCACCCCAGCACTTCCTCTGTTCTGCCATTTGGAGTGAAGGGCACTTTATGGTGGTGATTCCAGTGCCCCCCAACACGATTTGGTTAAAAATGAATACAGAGAACAGGAAAAACAAGTTACACCTTCACATCTTAGTTAAGGACAATCTTCCTCTGCCTCATTGGAGTCCATGCTTTCCTATTGCAACCTCCCAGCTATGCACAGCTAATGCCCAGCTGATACACTGCTGCTCCACTGCTCACACAGAGGAGATGAGATTTCTCACACCAAATCAATGCAGTGAGGTAATCAAATTAGTATTAAGTCTTATTTGAATGTACAGAACATGTCTCCAGTGCCTGGTTCTTCCAGGAATGTGACAAACACAGGAAGGTGACAGAAAGATGCACTCCTAACATGCAGGAGCTGTGTTCCCTGGCTGTGCACTGCAAAAATCTCCTCAGAAACTTTATGTGACAGCCAGTGCCATCAGTTCATAACATCACAGACTGGTTTGGGTTGGAAGAGACCTTGAATATATTCTAGTTTCAACCCCCTGCTGCAGACAGGGATGAATTCAGTAATAAAGGTTTATGACTGACAGTGCCTAACATTTCTGCATAAAATGAAAATGTCTTTGAGTAGCACAGCGGTTTTCTCTAGAGCTGGGCAAGAGGTTTTTTTGGCAACTGTGGGGTCAAAGATTCAAGCCAGAAGACAACCAAGAAGGGCCCATTGAGTTTTTTGTTTGTGACGTGTCTACATTTGGAGCACCAAGCCCTCTGAGATGGCCTCAAGGAGCTGGCACAGCTTGGGGCTGTGTGTGTGTGAGTACAAATGGGGAATTAACCAGCAGATGGCACTCAGAAATGTTTGGTACTTTTGGATTACACAGAGGCCAACACAATTTACTCTTTTAGTGCCCCACCAAATAACTTTTATCCATGGCTCTTAGCACTTCTTAGCACTGCAGCTTCATCGACTACACCTCCTAAAAGCCCTTTCCATCATTGCCTTGCCCACAGGAATTCAGGGAAAAATAAACAAACCAAATGTCTTATTTCAACTGGAAAGCATCATTATCCAAAGTCAGCAGAAAGATTTCCAAACACCTTCTAAAAATGGATTAAAAAAAAAAAATAATTATTTTCTACATACAGATCCCACATCTGTAGAGCAAACAACCCATTTATTTTTGGAAACAGTGTGTTTGATTCCTTTCAATGTGATACAATGATCTGCTGAAAAGAAATTGTAGCTGTTAGGAGTAGTGTGGTGGAATTGGAAAGACAAGTAAATGCACTTAAAGCTTTGCTAAGTGTTAGGGGAATAGATCTTGTTGATGGATGAGGTTTTTGCCAAATTATTTCCTGCTCATTCTCAGGTAAGGCAAAGATTAAATCTTTATTCCACTTAGATGTGCAGAATACTAATGAATATTATATAAAATTTTGATTGGCTCTGTTCTTTCATGCATTCTTTGTTGTTAGTTGGTGTGGGAGGGATGAAGGCAGGAGACCTTGGACAAGATGTCAGAAGAGAGCAGCCCCCTGTGAGATGCTGAGAACATCCTCTGAACACCATCTTCTATTCCCCTCCTTGCACTGAGAGGACCAATTCAGGGTATAAAATGAGCATAAATTGTTCTTTGACCTCATTGTATCAGGTCAAGAGATTTTTCTTTGCAACCATAAATACAAGAGAGCGAAGTGTGTCCTGTGGGTACATTATTTTCTTGCAGATTATAGACATTGGGATATTTCCAAAATTCATATCAGTACCTTTTAGGAAATAATGGAAGTTCTGAATCAATAGACTTGAAACCAAAGATGTTTCCCTGATTCACAAGCTGTACAGTCATTAATTAAGTAGCTGAGTGCTGGCTATTTGGCCAGCTCAGTGCTTAAATGTGTTCCTACCCTCTTACCCACACCACTGATCTCATGCATTATTAGGCACACAGAGCTTTCTTGGGGCTTTGTGCAAACTGTATTTACCCTTCCCAATTTTGATTAAACAGAAATGTCCTTGGGTGTGCTACAGCTGGCTGAGATGCCCCAGGAGCAGCACATTCCATAAGAATGGCACAGACAGGACAAGGGGATGGAGCCAAATGTGGTGCTGGATGTGTCTGTTGCAGCTCTTCCAGGCTCCTGCTCAACACGTCTTGGGCATAGAGTTGGCTCTGCTCCCCTCACACCTTCTCTGGAGGCTTTTCCCTCAACAGCCCTTTTGTAGGTGCATCTCCACCTGCTTTTGTGGTGTTTTCCCCCATTAAATGAGATTATTTAGCCAGGAAAACGTCCACTATGGCTTGCAGAACCAACAGGCAGGCTCCTCCAGGAGGCACCAGAACATCAGGTGCACTTTGCTCCCCTTCCAGCAGTCCTTATCTGGGGTGAAGGATGTGCCTGGTGCCTGCTTGCCTCTCTGCCAGCATTTCTGCTTCAATTACCATCCATCAATCACAGCAATCATGGCTGTTTGCAGCTTGGAAGCCAAGAGCTGTGAGCACCCTGCTAACTCAAACTGTTGCTTTCCTCATGGTTGATCCTGCGCCTCCTTCCCACTGCCCTCCCAGGCGAGATGCTCAAAAGGCAGCACAGCAGCAGCTCCCAGCACACCCCCAGCGCTGCCCCAGGGTGCCTGGAAGGCAGCACCTCCATCCCTGTGTCCTCAGGCTGGCAGAGCCAAAGCTCTCCATGCCCTCCCAGCACAGCTCCAGCCCCTGATCCACCTTCCAGGCTGATGTTCTGTGTGCACCCCATGCCCCGCAAATGCCCCAGGACTGTGTCCCCCTTGGGCACAGCAGCACAGGACACAGGGCTGTGCAAACCTGTTGGACTTCACAGAGCTGTCAGGAGGTTCTGAACGCCCTGCAGCAGACTGGTGGGGAACATGGTGCTGGGAAAAAAAACACCAGAGTTACAAAGCAAATTGTCTTCTGGCACTGCTGGCCACAAGAAATATTTGTGTTTGACAGCTCCCTCCTCAGCACAGAGCAGGGGAACAAAAGTATGAGATGAGTATGAGGAAAGCTGCAGGACAGATTTTTGTGAGTTGTGGCGTTCTGCCAGTCACCAGGAAAGATGTGACAGGGCCCACGCTTCCAGCCACAGGGGTGGGGATGTCTCATCTTTCAGTCTCAGAAATAATGTGAAATGACAATGACATTGGCTGATTTGGTGTCCAGCTGCAGAACAGTTCAATCGTTCATTGGCCCTTAAGACCAGCCAGATCCTCCTGGGAGGGCAGTGGAGGAGCAGTCAGCTATAATGGAGAGGTTAATGTCATTGCTCTGCACTCAGTGGTCAATGTGAACACTTGGCTTCTCCTGCCAGCTCTGTGTGACACAGAAGCGGCTGGGACTTTTCCTCTCTGAGGCTTGGCTTCTCTTTCAGAGGGAATACAACAGAACTCCTAAAAGACCCAAGCCCAGCTGCTGGAAGAGTTGCCAGCAGCACATCCAGCATCTCTTAGCACCAAGGGCCCCACAGAGCTCTTCCTTATTGCGACCATGTGATGCCTTAAGCTTTTAGCTTTTCTATTTTTCAGATTCTGTACTCCATTTGTGAATAACTCTGAACTCCATATAGACTGTTAGCAAGCTCTCTCCACATTTTTGTCAGACAAAACAATCCTTCCAGGCCTGAGAACTAAGGACACCCTCTGCCTCAGGCCCTGAGAAGTATAAACAAAAGTGAATTGTAGGGGGAGCAAACTGGGGGAATATGATTTCATTACCTGAAGCTGTAATTGGAGAATAAACCCCTGATATGCAAACAGACCAAACTCATACCTGTCTGAAAAATTTGTGACCATTGTCCATCTTGGGTGTAGCCTCTGGGAGGCTTTTGACTGCCAAAGGTGTGTCTGTTGAAGAACTTTAATAAGCACTCGCTTTATTCTCTTAACTCTGTCTAGCTCATCACAGGTGCATATGGCAGAGAACTGTGCCATGGCTGAGGGTCCCTGGGGCTAACAGGAGGCCAAGGAGCCCATCAGCTGGAGGATTTACCCCTGTGGAGAGCCCCCACCCTGCCAGCAGACACTCACCGTCGTGGCATACTGAATGTCCCTCCAGATGGAAGTCTCCTGGGAGAGGTCCGAGTCCTCAAACAGGTTCTCCAAGACAACTTCTCCTATCATGTCATGCCTGGAGAACCTGTCAAAGTCAAAGACGCTCAGGTGGAGCTTCCTGCTGGCCAGCTCCTCGTGGGGCACGGGGAAGTGGAAGGACTCGTCGAAGGTGGGGTTCAGAGTCTTCCTGTGCACTCGTGTCTGGAACTTGCGCTTGCGGTCAGGCAGGAGGTAGATCTTCACGTAGGGATCCGAGCTGCCGCAGAAGTCTTTGGCTGGCAAGTCAAAAGCCCTGAGAATTCGGACAGTCAGCGTCTCGTTCTCATAGTCATACTTGAGGGTGAAGTTGATTTTCCCACAGGTTTTCTCTGCCTCTTTCTTGGGGTCCTCGGTGTCCACAGTCTTTTGTTTGTAGAGCTCGGGCTTGATGCGGCCGATGCTGGTGGGCTGCTCAGCCACGGCTGGCGGCTCCAGGCCGTAATCCATGCTGGACACGTGCATCTGGCGAGGGAGGTGCCTCTTGAACGAGATGTGCCTGCAGGAGGAAGACACCAGCAGCTCTCTGTGTTTACAAGGACATGGCTCTCCTTTTTCGCCTCCAGACTCAGAAAGCAAGAGAGCACAGAACAAGTTCCATAGGTGCTCCTGAGCTCTGCTCTGAAGCCATGGGTATTGTGGAGGTGAACAGAGGGGAAACACCTCTAAAAACCTTCAAGGAACCAATCCAGCAAATTTCTTAAATTCCAGAGTATTTTCCACAAGCTATGTTTTCTCACCTGTGGCACGAGTCACAGTCCACAGCTGAACAGATGGGCCCAAACAACTCCTCACCCAGCACACAGACAGCACCACGTGGAGAATTTCCCCACCCTCAGTCCTTGTAAGATACTGGCACTAAACTCTCTCAGGCAAAACCAAAACCACCTTATTTTTGCTTTTTTTTTTTGGTGAGAGAGTCACAACCAGTTCAGAAGGCCAGGCTTTACTCATAGAACCACAGAATGGTTTGGGTTCAGAGGGTTTTAAAGCTCATCTCATTGCATCAGGGACACCTTCTCCTAGATCAGCTTGCTTCAAGCCCTATCCAGCCTGGCTTTGCTGGGTATTGCTGCTTCCAAACTTTTCCAACAGACTCATCAGAGACTGATAGATAATTGTTGACAGGGAGGGAGGCACAGCCTCGTTGGGAAGCGTCTCTTGCCTTGAGCTCTCCTCCAGCACAAGCTGTATGTAAGTAAAGCTTTATCTGAACAAAGCATAAAAGCTTTCTGTGCACTGAGGGCATTATTTTAGATTATCTGGCGTTTACAAGAGCAGTTTATAGAGTTATTTAACCAAACTAAGAACTCTACAGCCACAGCATTAGCTTTCAGTGATATGTGGTGCTTGGAGGCCTTGGCAGGTTCCTAAGAGGTATTTTGGGGAGGGTTAGGCTGGGCTGTGAATCAGAAGAACCTGACAAGGAGAAAGTGGGTTTGAAACCTGCCCACGTACAGACAAGTCCCACTTTGTTTGTCCTAATTCAGACTGGCTGAGGGTTTTTTTCTCCTCTGTTGGAAAGGTGAAGTAAAAGCAGAAGGAGCGTGTGCATGCAGAGAGGGAATCAGCTGCCCAAAACACAGTGTGGATAAATAAAAGAGTGTGGATCACAAACACAGGTGGCACCGTGCTGCTCTAACTCAGCTCCTACAAACAGGGGACTGCCATCCATGCCTCACTAATCCTGCAAAAGTGCAGCCAATTTTCTGAGCAGTGCCTGATTTCCCTGTCACACTACTGTGCACGTCCCAGGCATGGCCAGCGAGGCAAACAGGAGTGCTGGGGCACAGCCAGGACCCTGCGATCACTTTCCTGTCCCAGTTTCACCACCTTCTGTGTCAAGGAGAGATGCTGCATTTCACAGAATGGTTTGTGTTAAAGGAACCTCACAATTCACCTCATCCCACCTTCCACTGTCCCAGGCTGCTCCAACCTGGCCTTGGACACTTCCAGGGGTGGGGCAGCCACGGCTTCTCTGGGCAGCCTGTGCCAGGGCCTCGCCCCACTCCGAGTAAAGAACCCTTTTCTAACATCTAATCTAAATCTCTCCTCAGTATCCAAGCTGGGAGGGTGTCCCAGGGTTCACACAGCCTTTCCCTGAATTCCTGAGGATGATGTTGATGTCTCTGTCCCCATCTGAGCACAAGCACCAAGCGCAGCTGGGTCTGGCCTCGTGCAACGAGCAATCCATCAACTGTGCTGATCTAATTGCTTCTGCCAGGAGCCACAACAGAGAGGGAGAGCCAAAAGGCCTAATTTTGTCTGACAGGGTGCATCATTGATACTTCAGCCTGCCTCTCATGCTGGAACAAAATTAAAGTGGCCAAAGCATGCGGGTTACTTGACACAATGAGGTCATGCAGTAATAGGGCTCAAATCCCTGATTTTTAAAAAGAGCCATGGTGAGCCAGTCTTAACACATTCATTGTTTAATGGCCAAGCTTTGGTCAGTAATCTGGTGTGTAGGTGCTCTCTTTAGTCTCCTTGATGGTATCTAAACCCTTGTCTCCATCCAACAATCCTGCCACCTCTCCAGCTGCTCACAGAGCAGTGTCCCTGCTGAGCACCTCATCCCCACCCAGCAGGATCATGTTCTATCTAATATCCTGAGCTGGAGGGGACCCACCAGGATCATAAAGTCCAGCTCCAACCCCTGCGCAGACACCCCCAGATCCCACCCTGGGCATCCCTGGAGTGGAGTCCAAACACTTCTGGAGTTCTGGCAGGGCCGTGCCCATTCCCTGGGGAGCCTGCGCAGTGCCAGCACCCTCTGGGGGAAGAAACTTCCCTGAGATCCAACCTAAATTCCCCTGGCACAGCTCCAGCCCTTCCCTGGGTCCTGCCACTGTCACAGAGAGCTGAGATCAGCATCCTGAGCTGCCCCTCAGGAGGAGCTGCAGTGCCTGATGAACTCCAACCTCAAGCTGAGCACCCCATCCCATCCTATCCCATCTCATCCTATCCCATCCCATCCCATCCCATCCCACCCCATCCCATCCCATCCCATCTCATCCCATCCCATCCCATCCCACCCCACCCCACCCCCACCTGGTGGAAGATGCCGGCTCTGTGGTTTGCCTCTGGATCCGTGTGCGCCGCATAATGTGATCCTTCATGGACATCTGCACCTCTGCAGGGATGTCCGGGGAAGTGTGGCTGATCTTCACAGCCGCCTCCAGGAAGCTGATGGCCCCCGTGTCCTTGAGCTTGTCTGCCATGCTGGTCTTGTTGCCTGCCTCGCTCCGCAGCACAGCCAGGTGGGAGGAAAGGGCCTTGTTCCTCCAGGGAACCCAGCACAGCTTCCAAAAGAGGAACACAAACACTGCCACCAGGGCCAGGCCACACACAATGACTATCACCGCAAGGAGGCTGACGGAGAGCTCTGAGGGAGAGAAGTGACAGGAAGCGATGGGAAAGAAGAAAAGAAGAGATGGATGGGGAGAAAATCATAAGTAAAAGGAAGAAATGGTCCAAACGGACTTAAATCACAACTAATGGAAAGCTGTTAGCATATTCTTCAAGCCAGAGACCAAGTGAGCACCCCCTGACAGGCTGGGGACACACCTGGGGAGAAAATGGGTGTCTCCATATGGGCAGAGCTGTGAAGTTTTACACCCTGATGCTTCAACTGGCTATAAAATACCATCCTTGGTTTATTCTGTGGCATCAGCAAATTGCTGAGTCTGAAATCAAGGAGATTGGTACAATTCCATGATAGAAACAAGCTTGGGTGCTGTACCACAGAAAGTGCCTTTTTGCTTCGAGTCACAGATACTCAGGCACAGTAATGAAAAAAATCCATCTACCAGGGTCCTGGAAGTGGATTGTTGTTGTACTATCAGCACCCACATCTTGTCCAGATGTGCCCATAGGGAATAAAAAGTAAATACCAACACCAAGGAAAAAATAATCACAAGCTGCTGATGCAGAAAAACCAAACATAGCAGGAGTTTGTACAGAAGATACTACACAATCCTCCTCACTCTGAACAGCACAGGAGCTGTGAGTGTGCTCTGATGCTCTGAGACCCTTTTACCTCATGTGTGGTGTATTTCACTCCTTTTCTGGAAAGAGCTTCCTTATGTGTGGCTGACGAATCAGGAAAAATGGAAAATGGAAGATATATATACATATATATATATATATATATATATATATATATATATATATATATATATATAATCTAGGCTGTGAAATGATTCACAGCACTGCACAAAGATAAACATTGGCTATTTTTGCTTCCTCAGGAATATTCTCTCAGGCCAAAACTCCGAGAGATCAGGATTCCAAGGAATATCAGTCCCTGATGGAGGAGGCAGGTTTTGTTCTGGAGGTAAGTCTTCAGCATGGACAATTCCATCATGGATTGCCTTGAGCTCATGGACAATTCCTTGATCTGTGCTATTTGTAGTGCCCAGTAAAGCCACACTCCTTAAATTACCCAAGTGCAAGTCATGACAGAAAGACAAACAAAATACACCAAAACCCCCAAAAGTTTGTATGGAACAAGCATCACCTCTTATCCACCCTATTTATGTCTATTCTTGGACAATAAATGTTTTGTGTGAATTTGAATTCCCTACCCGAGCCCCAAGGAATGGGGTGGGTGCCCTGAGCATTTCTGAGCTGGGGAACTCCCCTCTATGCCGCATCTCAGCTGCTCTAAACGTAATTCCTGAGGTGCTTTGCCTTAAACAGGAGCCATAAAACACCTTCTGTTCCCTTTGGTCGTTTAGTTTTGTAAAGCTATAATAAGACATTTAATCATAGAATCACGGGATGATTTGGGTAGAAGGAGCCTTAAAAATCGTCTCATTCCACCCCCTGCCGTTGGCAGGGACACCTTCCACTAGACCAGCTTGCTCAGACCCTAGATCTAACCTTGCCTTGATGTTAAGGCTGAGAAAAATCTGTGAAATACGAGGAAAGACTAGGTTTTTAATCTTGAATGAATAGCTGAATTAAAAAAAATATGGCAAAACTCCCCCAATCACAACAAACCCCCCACCCACCATTGGTGAACCACTACAGCAAAGTGTTCAGGAGCACATTTGTATCATCAAATTTTGCTCGGGTCTCTCTGGGAATGCAGCAGCCACTGCAAATTTGGGATTCTTGCGCCAGCTCCCGTAAGTGAAATCTCCAGGCAGCATCAGACACAAAATGTGACATCCACACCCGAACAAGCCAGCCCTGTGCAGTGCCTGGGAAGCCATCTGTTGTTCCTGATGTCCTGGAGGATTTTGTTTTTCCACTAAATTACTGAGCCCAGCAAATCCAGCAGGAGCTGCAGGCAGAGCTCCCTGGATGCCTGTGAGTTTTTGACTCCAAGGGAAGGGCTGGAAGGGATGGGATGGATAAACATCACCCAGAGGTTTTTGCAACTTCTCTTTCCCTTCCCAGCCTCTTGTACAGGTCATTTATTTTCTGTTGTAGCTCCGAGGTGGAAACACAGATTGATGCTGGGGTGAACAAACAGGTCCAATCTTACTCAATAATAAATAAGGTTGTACCAGTCAGCAGCAGAGCTTCCTCAGAGATTTGCCTAAATGTATTCTCACCAAAGCCGAAAGCACAGAGGTTCCACTTCCCTATCCTTTGAGTGAAATCTTGGAATGGTGCCCAGGAAACTCAGTGTCAAACATTCATAAGAAAACTCAAGAACCTGGACTTTTCGCAAATATGTCTGTGTTGGTACAAAGGAAATCATTGCAATGCAGAATCTCTCACTGCTGGGAATTCCTGCGTGACAGAGAAGATTTTTAAAAATATATTTTCACCCATTCCAGGGAGTTTTATAAGCTACATGTCTCTGCCAGCACAGCAGGCTCATTAATGGAAACCATCAGAAATAATCAATTATCCTTTCAGAAAACCTGTTGCCAGCTTGAGAAAGATCCTGGTTTCTGTCACTCCTTGCAGGGCTGGCATTCATAATGTCTCTGACAAGATTCACAGATACTTTTATGCATGACCTCCTACTCCTTCCTCTGACAGCTGACACAAAGCACGAGTGGAAGGGATCAGAATTTTACAGACAGTTTTTAAGCATCTGCCTGCTTAGAATATTGGATTGTTTGAAGATGACATTGAATTGTCCAAGACTTTTTTGTGACTTATTAAACTTAAATATCAGTTGGACAGAGTTGACCTTCATTGATTTAATGAGCTTTCCCTTATGAATTTGAAAATACCCGTTAATTTCTAAAAAATACCTGCTATTGAAAATGCTATGCTTTAAATGTCCTTTAACTTACAATAAACCATAAAAACAAAATAATTCCCCACCTAAGAGAAAATGCCCCGGGGCCAGAGGCTGCTTTGGTATTCCCAGTACCAGTGGAGGTAAGGCCAGTTCCCCCAAAGGACACCTCAGCCCAGGGGAAGAATGAGCTCCTTGGTTGATATTAACCCCCCTTCTTCAAGGTTTGGATCCAAGGGGTAGGGATGAGAGGGAAAAGAGGGAAAAGAGGGAAAAGAGGGAAAAGAGGGAAAAGAGGGAAAAGAAGGATGTGTCTGCATCCAGCAGTGAGGAAGGGTTCTAATGCAGGAGAAGCTCAGATCCCAGCGGCTCACAAGGGAGAGTCACATCAGCATTCTGAGCAATGTCCCATCTGGGGAAAAACATGACAAGAGCTACATTTTCATTCCCTTTCTCTCTTAAAAATTCACAGTTATTTCGCACTTTATTATCAAGGTAAGTGCTGTGGTGCAAGTGCAGAGCAGCTCCAGCCATTCCTCACTCCAGTCCCATAAAACTCACTGCTGCTCCCTCATCCTTACCCAGTTCCCATGGGAGACATGGGTGAAGCTGGAAAATAGGTCTTATTACAACTTGTAATTGGAAATAAAAAGCTTGAAAAAGGAGTTTGTAAACACAAATTAACATGGCTGTTTTCCTGCCTGCCCCCCTCCCGGGAGCAAGCGCTGCTTCCCCGGGAACCTTTGGCTGGAAAATGCTTTTGGCTGCAGGGCAGCAGAGACAGAGCTCCCTCCTGAGCAAAGAGGAACAGGGAAGGAAGGGATGGACATGGACACTGAGAGGATCCACCCTGGAAGTGCCCAAAGCCAGGCCAAGACCTTGAGCAACCTGTTCTAGTGGGAGGTGTCCCCACGCTTGGCAGGGATTTGGGACCAGATGATCTTTAAGGTTCATTCCAACCCCTCAGTATTCCATGATTCTGTGATTCTATAATCTACCTGCTTGAGCTGATATGCTTAGGATAAGCCATTGAGCTTATATATTTATTCTAATAAATATAAAATATATAAACACCACATAAAAGACCTGAAGCTGATAGCGATGAGGACACCAAGAGCACAAACAAGACTGGATTCTCTCACTGTCACCCAAAACTGATCCCAGTTCTCCTCTGACTTCTTGGTCTGTGTTTTTATTCATTTTGTAACACCCAAACCCCTTGGTACTGAACCACACTAAAAAGCTCAAAACTGCAACAATTTCCAAGTTCACTTCCTACTGCCTTTTAATCAAAGACAAACAGCCCAAGGAAGGAGAAAGAAAGAAGTGGTTTGCAATGTAAAATTAGAGCTAAAAGCAAACTGAGGATGGGGCAAACATTCCTTGGTTAGTCCAGCCCTTCCCACCACAGTGTCCGTGGACTCGTGGAGCAGGTCCTCAGCCAACCCCCCTTTTTGTTTCATCCTGGATGGAGCTAATGAAGAGATACGTTCAAGCTGCCTTTCAGCTTGATGTCCCTGCTGACTTCCTAATGCCCAAACTGAGTTGCCAAAGGGGATAATTTGCAAAGTCCAACCCAAAAGCAATTAATAATATGACAAAGTCATGATTAGAGCAGTCTATTAACTGACATGTCTATTAAAGAAAATAGTGGTCTAATTGTGGCAACATTGACTTTTACCGCTGTGAAGTAGCTTGCACTGTCATTAAAGAGATTCATGGATACCTCTGAGTTTAATGTGCAGAGTTATATTTCATATCCCAAAGATGTAATTTAGTTTTCCTTCCACCCACTCCCTACAGAGAAAACACAACATATTTGATGGCTCCCTCAGCACTCCACCAGCCATTAGTTATTCCAGCTACCTGTTGCACTTAAACTAAGTTGGAATGGCACGAGTGGAAGTTGGAGAGGCTAGAAATTCTCCTTGAGGTGCAGCATGGGAGCAGGGTGATGCCACCAGCTTCCAGGACCTGGCTGTCCCCTTCCTCCCTTGTCATCTGTGAGGTTTCCTCAGGCCCTGGAGCCCCTCACCAGGGCCGTGGGGACACTGACCTGACTTTCTGCCACCTTCTGCCGGACACAGCCACCAGCCTGGCCCTGCCAGGTGCCCAGGGACATCTGCCCTGTCAGAGGTTCTTCCTCCTAATCCCTCTGGTGGATCACGGAAAATCTGGGC